AGTATTCCTAGCATAGTTCCGGCATCCAGCAAACCTCCATTCATTAGAGGCCTGCTGGATGATCCTTCATTCCACTGTGCCCATTGAATCAGGATGATGATATGTCTTCCGTGTGTGTGTGTGTGTGTGTGTGTGTGTGTGTCCTTTAGCTCTTCATATGCATTCCATAAATTATCATACACTCATTCCGTGAGTGTTCATTGGGTGGCAGGGACATAGAGACTCATTTAAAGGAGTTAACATTGAAGGATCTGATTTCATTAAAGATGGGTTGTCAGACACGAAACTGTGAGCTGTTCAGAACTGGTTCTGAGTAGCACCCTGGGAAACAATTGAGAATTTCTTTATCTGACAGTCAGTGCCTTTAGCATGACATGCAGGTGAGCCTTTGTCAGTCAGGAAGAAAGTGGGACCACAATTTACACGATACGTGTGCTCTCAGCACCAGGCTAGGCCACGCCTTTAAACCCAGCACTTGGGAAGTAGAGGCAGGCAGATGTCTGTGAGTTCAAGGCCAGCCTGGTCTACAAGAGTTGAGTTCCAGGACAGCCAGAGCTACACAAAGAAACCCTGTCTTGAAAAGCCAACCAAAAAACTGGTTAAGGATTACAATTAAAGTGCAGCTCAGTGGTAAGGGGATTGCCTGGCACATACAAGGCCCTGGGTCCAATCCACAGCATACCAAAAACGTTTGCTAACAAATGCTTTTCTGTAATTAAAAAAGAAGAAGGCCAGCACCAGTATTTTAAGAGAGAGTAGCATGCCCAGTAGACTGGCTGCAAATGCGGAAACTCCAGTGTTCCCAGGGAGCAGGAAGTGGAAATTAAACTTTGTTTTTTAACGCGTGTGTTTACATGTGGATATGTACATGTGAGTACAGGGCCCTGGAGAGGTCAGAGGCCTCAGGTCCCTATGGAGCCAGAGTCACACATGGTTGTATTTCATCTGAGATGGGCTCTAGGAACCACTGAGCCATCTCTGCTGGCCTCCAAAGCAGGCGCTTTGATTTGAACCCAGGCCGGCTTCCTTTCTGCCTCCGCCTCAGCGCTTCAGGGCTCTCCTGTCGTCTAAATGATGCTTTTCTTGGCTCTGAAGTGTGTGGGTTGACAGTGAAGTGTCCCATAAGTGCGTGTTGCCACCACAGAGGAAGGGTGGAGGTTCTTATATTCTGAAATACTGTCTAGGTGCACAGTATTTGGTGTGACTTGACTTGCATTTTATCTTTTGCTTTATGACTATACTGCCTGGGTGTATACAGCTCATTGGTAGCATGTGTGGTTAGTATGTGTCAGGCCTGGGTTTGATCTCCCACACTGTGAAATAATATAATACATTTTATTTGAAAGAGCACTCAAAGTCCCTTTGGGGTACTTGTAAAGACTTACAGGGAAATCCAAGGAGTCATTCACGAGAACGATTCCTTTATGTGCAAACGAGCCCGACCTCTTTGTGGACCTGCCCTGGGACACGTGGAGGGGTTTACTTACTATTCACGCTTCTTTCTTTCGTGCTTGCTTTTTAAAAAGAGTTTATTATGTCTACAGTGTTCTGCCTGCATGTATGCTTACAGGCCAGAGTAGGGCACCAGATCTCATCATAGATGGTTGTGAGCCACCATGTGGTTGCTGGGATTTGAACTCAGGACCTCTGGAAGAGCATCCAGTGCTCTTAACCTCTTGAGCCATCTTTTCCATCACTTGAAACCTTAGTTGGTTTTTTGTTTGTTTTTTTTATTTTATTTATTTATTTATTTTTGAGACAGGATTTCTCTGTGTAGCCCAGCTGTCTTGGAACTAGCTCTTGTAGAACGGGCTGGCCTCAAACCTCAAACCTGCCTCTCAAGTGCTGGGATTAAAGGTGTGCACCAACACCACCCAGCTCTGATGGATATTCTTAACAGTGGAATGTGCTTGATGCTCATTCCTCCCTGACAGTTGAAGCTTTGAAAAGTATTTTTCCTGTCTTTTTTGTTGTTGTTGTTGTTGAGTCAGGGTCTCGAGCATCCCGAGCTGGCTTCAAGCTGGCTATGCAGCTGATGACGGCTTTGACATTCCCGCCTCTACCTCCCAAGTGCTCGGGTTGCAGGTATTACTTCCAGTGCCCAGTTCTGAGGCTCCAACCCAGAGCTTTGTGCATATGGACAAGTACAGCTGTGCTACTTTCTAGGCCCAAAACATTGTCCACACTGATTGATTATGTAATCATAATTCTGTACTTGAGTAATGTTGTAATTATCGTCTTACAGATAGATGAGTGACAGTGGCAGACTGAAGGTTTAGCCACCCGTCTAAACTAATACCAAGTAGGGTAGATGGAGATTGGGATACAGGCTTTTCTTTCAGTCCATTTAAAATTGTATGTATGTCAGTATCTGTGTTTCTGTGAATATACTCTGTGTATGTGCAGGCGCCCGCAAAGGCCGGAGGAGGTTGGGTCCCCTGAGATGGAGTCACAGGCGTTGCGAGCCTCGGTCCTCTAGAAGGGCTGCAAGCGCTCTGAACCCATGTCTCCAGTCCTTCCAGCCCATTAGGCACTTTTTAAAAAATTGGCTTTATGGTGGTATGTGTATGGTGTATGTGTAGGCGTGGGCACCATGGTCTGTGTGTGGAGTTCAGCGGACAGGTTAGTGGGGACTTCTAGTGCTTTGTCTTTTTTAACACTTTATCTTTAAGAGTGTGTGCGCATGTGCCAGGGTCCAGCCCTGTGGGGCTCAGGTTCCAAAGAGAAGGTCTGGAGTGTGTGTGTGTGTGTGTGTGTGTGTGTGTGTGTGTGTGGTGGGGGTGTGAATGAGGATGGCTGCCCGTTTACTGAGGTCAGGCTACACCTTATGGTCTCTATTGAGAGCAGACTTAACGATTCTGGGGCGAAAGCGGTCACCAACATTGCAGCATTTTCCTTGAAACAAAGCCCAGTGAGTTTAGCAGAAATGTGCATGTCCCTTGTCCTCTAGGGTTCCGCAGCCCGCCATGCCTGCCTTGCACTTCCTCCTGCATGTCGGGAGGTGTCAGACATTGAGTCCTGAGAGATAGACCCCTAAGAGCAATTTTCATTCCTCAAAGGGTGATTGTATCATGTTTAGCACAACAAGCACTAAGCAGTTAGCTAATTTCGGGCCTGTTCCCTCATAAGCTCCCAAAAGGGAAGATCCTGACACCGTACCATTCTGGTCTGTATAGCCAAGGGGATCAAGCCAGTCTAACTTCTTAAACAGAATGAACCCGATCCCCGTGGGGCAGACCGGATCTTGCGTACAGTGAGCCTTGAATGGAGGGCACTATTCTATACTTATTAACTGAATGAAGTCTTAGCCTAAATGGCCTCAGGCTCTGGGTCTGGGCCCCTTGTTCCTCGTGATCGTGTGTGCCCAGTTAGTAAACCTTTAACTTCTTTATTCCTGGTGTATTGGGGTGGGGGGAGGCACAGTGGGGAATCTTGTGTGGGAATTGGCGGAGGAGTTATGCCGTGTGGTTCCATGGTGGCGGGGAATTCTTTTTTTCCCCCCAAGAATTATTTTGCTTAAAGAAACTGGCATTGTATATGTTCTCATCTTACACCAACACTCACACAAAACTCCGAAAGAAGGCATAAAGAACTCCCGTGACATAACAGTCCTTAAAGCGTGCAGGTAAAGGTCGCAGCAGAGTTGTGATCCACAGTGTGGAAGTGCTGGGAATTTCTCCATGCTGCCCACACCACGTGTGTGTGTGTGTGTGTGTGTGTGTGTGTGTGTGCGCGCGCGCGTGCCAGTGGAGGCCAGAAGAGAGCCAGGAGCTGGCGTTCAGGCAGTGGTTGTGAGCCACCCTGTGCTGGTGCTGGGAAAGCTCTCAAACACTGAGGCATCCCTCCAGCTCCTAGGAAGTGAAGTGTATTTTATGTATTGTAGTGGTTTTTCTCACCCCCCCTTATCTTCCTTATCCTTTTTTTTTTTTTTTTGAGACAAGGTCTCACTCTAGACAGGAAGGCTTGAACTTCAGGAGCCAGAACTGATTCAGAAGTTAGAGAGCACAGGATAATGTCCCCTTCTGGCCTCCTCGGGCACCAGGCATGCCTAGGGTGTGCATACATACAAAATAACATTTTTTTTTAGGCGGTCTTTTGAGTTTTCAAGACAGGGTTTCCCTGTGTAGCTCTGACTTTTGTGGAACTTTAACTCTGTAGACCAGGCTGGTCTTGAACTCAAGATCCGCCTGGCTTTGCCTCCCAAGTGCTGGGATTAAAGGTTTGTGCCACCACATCTGGCCTGAGTGTTTGTGAGATGCTCTTCGATTTAAAAAAAAAAAAATATTGCACTTGAATAAGGACTTTGGAATAATTTAGTATCGCTATAGATGAGATTTTGCTCTTCATTCACTGCAAAGAACGTTGTGCTAGCTGCTTCTGCTTCCCTGCCCCCTAGAGAAGGGAAAAGGGCCTAAAGACTGCTTCTCACGACTCTGGGACTGACCCGTGTACCCTCCCCAGTCAGGCAGGCACATGCTGCTTACATGGTTGCATCGCTGTGTACCCATGGTAACCTGAACCACGTTAACTGCCCCATGGGTCTCCGAAGCAGACTATTCAGCCACTGGGTAACACATGCCTTTAAATCGTCAGATTGCTCATCTTGTAGGATTGAGGTTAACCACCTCGGTAGAGTATAACAGCGTTTATTTAGCCTTTGGCAGGCCTCCAGATAAACAGCGCCTTTGCAGACTCCTGCCCAGGGCTCTTCCACCCTTGAGTGGAGACGCATCGCGTGCACCTAAGATGGCTTTTGTGTAAGGTGAGCCTGGCTCACCCACTGGTGCATGAATTAGCCTGGCAGCTAAAGGAGGCTGGGGCTGAGGCCCGACCCGGGGGAGGGGGCTGCGGCTGGGGCCCGAGCTGGGGGCGTGGCCACGGGGTGGGCTGGGGCGGGGCCGCTTGCGCATGGGCAGGAGGCCTGGGCTCCAACGGTTGGACCAGCCTTCGTCACCGTCACGGTTGCTAGCCCTCGGAGCTGAGCCCTGCCGGCCGCCAGCATGTCTAAAGGAGAGGGCTCCCTGCCCGGAGGCGAAGAGAAAGGCGAGGAGCTGGTCGGAAGCCTGGCCTGGCGGTACCTGGTGAAGCAGGGGGAGGAGGGAGAGGCGCTGAAAAAGGAGGAGGAGGAGGAGGGCCCGGACGGGTGCTCAGACGACCTGAGCCCCGAGGCCTCGGGCGTGCACCCCGACCTCCTGGAGCTGGCGGTGGACCGAGAGAAGTGCCGCAGCATCCGCCGGCAGTACCGGCAGCTCATCTACAGTGTGCAGCAGAACCGCGAGGACATCGTGAACACAGCCAGCGACTCGCTGACCGAGGCCCTCGAAGAGGCCAATGTGCTGTTCGATGGAGTGAGCAGGACCCGAGAGGCGGCCCTCGACGCCCAGTTCCTGGTGCTGGCCTCCGATCTGGGTAAAGAAAAGGCAAAGCAGTTAAACTCGGACATGAGCTTTTTTAATCACGTCGTATTCTGCGACTTACTGCTGGTGTTTGTGGGCCTGAACTGGGTAGAAGAGCAGTGTGAAGAGCTGAGCGACTGCGATGACAGCATCGCGCTTTCCTTCTGGGGCATGGTGCAGAAGGAAGCAACATCCTGGATGCAGAGAGCCGAAACCTTCCACTTCGTTTTTGGCTCGTTTAAGGCGGAACGTTCTGCCCGAAAGCCCCGGCCGGAACATCACAAAAGAGCTTGCAAAATGGAAGGAAATGGAGATATGCCTACAAAGTTGAGGAAGCTGGACATGCATGCCAATCAGGAGACGACGGAAAAAGAAGTGGAAAGAATCTTGGGATTGCTGCAAACCTACTTTCAAAAGTACCCCGACACCCCGGTGTCCTATTTTGAGTTTGTGGTTGATCCAAACTCATTCTCTCGCACTGTGGAGAATATCTTCTATGTTTCTTTTATTATAAGGGATGGCTTTGCAAGAATAAGGCTTGACCAAGACAGACTGCCCATATTAGAGCCAACTAACGCTAACCAGGTGGATGAAGAGAGTGACCCCTGTTCTTATGGCAGGAAGCAAGGAGTCATATCTTTGAGTTTACAGGACTGGAAAAATATTGTCTCCACTTTCGAAATCTCAGAGGCTATGATCAAAAACTCATGCTGAAGATTTTTGTTTGTAGTTGTATGAATGAAAACAGAAGCACACGCTAGTAAACTATTTTCACGAATAAATGAAATTGTCTGTTGTGCAGTGTACTTTTCTTGGTAACTATAAGGTTGTAATCTTATTTAAAAGTTGACTGTTGTGACCCATGACACTTTTGGTAAGCTCTTGAGTTTCTCAGAAGGTGTTAGCCGACTTGCTAAAGACAAAAACAGGGTCTCCTTGTTGCTGAACGGCTTAGCCCTGTCATGGTGAGCCAAGGGTCCTGGGGGTAGGGGTGGGGTTGGGAGCTTTTCACCAAGAGTGGGATCGTAAAAAATCAGGGAGTCAGTGGTTGGGCAATATTACTGCTTCCTTTCAAAAAGTGGGTCTCCATCTTCAAAACAATTTCTTTGATAAATGAACAAAAAGTGTGTGTGCGGTGTGTTGTGTGTGTGTGTGTGTGTGTGCCAAACTGCTGTTGATCCATTGCCTTAGCCCCACAATGGTTATTTAAGAATATCTGTTTCTTTTGTTTACTCTTTAAAACCAGTAGATAAGCATCATGCTTTGGTGACCCCTAGGGAGGCGTCGTGGTGGCTATCTGGCCTTACTTCTGGCCTTACTTTGATCTGAGGGCTCTTACTACCAGCTTATTTTCCCCCCTGCAGTGCCCTGCATTGAAGGAGAAGCCTTGGTCATCATGCCAGCCTGTGAACGCTGGCTGCGCCTCCCAGCTTCTCGAGGTAGCCCTTTTGTGCAGACTGTCTGGGTGGCACAGGCTTGCCCCAACTGTTGCTGCTTCCCAGGGTTTCTCCGTCCGTTCACCCAGCCGTGTGTGCCCCGTGTGCTGTGGAGGGGCATGCGTGGGACTCTGCTTCCTCCACGATCCGACCCGGCACCCCCCTCCTCATCCCCACCGCCCTGCCCTGACCCCCGACTCTGCCCTCCACCCTCTACACCTGATTGTAGGCAGGAAAAAAATACGCAGTCTGGGCTGGTAAGTGTGCGGATTTTTAGTTATTAAGGGTAAAATGATTAAAAAATATTTTTATTGTACTTAACTGACTTTTCAGTCACTATCCTCATTAGCCCAGGGTTTTATTATAGAGTAATGGTGAATGTATTGCCACAACAGTCTTCCAAAACAGTGTAGAATGTAGCCAGTTACATACATATATATGGACATATACGTATATATACATATATAAAGCTAGTGTGCATACACTAGAATGAAAGAGATATTTACATTTTTTCCCTTAATACCTGTTTTTAAAAGTCTGATACATGCAAATATTGAAACAAAAACCAGAACTTTAGACGTGCAGGGTAAAGCAGAGTCCTACCTATCTGTTTAAAGTGGGTGGTAGAAGGCATGCATAACACTGTGGGTTTGAAGCTGAGGTGGCCCTGAATCCCAGCACTTGGGTGGTGGCAGGGTCTGTATAGTCAGTTCCAGGAGTCCCAGAGCTACACCGTGAGACCCTGTCACATAAAACAGAAACCCCAACCTGTAAAACACCTTGTAGAGGCAGAGGCTTTGAACTTACCCGTTAGTGATTTTTCCGAGATCTTAGACACAGTGTGACAAAGTCTTACATCTTGGCCAACTTTGCAGTTGCCGTGTTAACATTATTGTGTTCATTATTCTCCAGATTCCCTTTTTAGCCTAAGACCTTTACCTGCTGGTTCTGTTTTCACTAGAAGGTAAAGGTGATGGTGAATTACATTGCTGGCACTATTAAAAACATGCTGGACAGTTATCAGATAGTCTCACACTGTGCAGTTGGGAGAATCTCACTAGAAGTTTTTTGTTCCTGTGTTTTGTTTTCCCCAAGGCGAGGGAAACCTAATTTAAAATGTAGTTTTAGAGCTCTAGGAGGGGCTGATGAGATGGATGGCTCAGCAGGTAAAGGTGCTGATAACTGAGCCCAGGAGATTCTCCGCTGATTTCCATAACCATGCTTCCTCCCCACAAACAAACAAACAAAACCAGGTAAGGAAACAAGAAATCTCAGGGCGGTCAGTATGAACATATGACTAATAAACCCATTAATATGTGTTGTAAGACACTGAATTCTGGAGAGGAGAGTGTTGCTCTGACTTTGCTTGGGTGTCAGTGGGTTTGGATGGGCTGTCTGTATGTGGAATTGGGCGAACACTCCAGAGTAGGTAACAGGCATAGGGAAGGCACTGGGATGTACTACTCAGCCATCCTGTCCCCATGAAAGGAAGCCTGGGTGTTTCCATGTGTGGCTACGTGAGAGTCAACATTTTCTCTGTGAAAATAACCTTTGGTTTTCTTTAAAGAAAGATTTCCAACGTTCTTGGGAATTGCTGCTTTTGAGTTAAGCTCTTTTTGTTGATGTTGTTTCCCTGCAGTCATATCAAAAAGGCGGACCTGAGAAGCTGCCCACAATGAATGGCCCCGAGGATCCCCCTGAGTCCTATGACTTCGACCTCATCATCATTGGAGGAGGCTCAGGAGGGCTGGCGGCCGCTAAGGCAAGGCGCTCGGTGCAGTGGCATCTGGCGATGGGGTGGATAGAGTACTCCTACCCTGCAGGTTTCCGCTTCCCCTGGGTTTGTCCCCTACAGGCCTGCGGTCTTTCCATTAACTTGGTAGAGACATATAAAGGGGTCACTTTGTCATCACTTTGCACACTGAGATGTCGGCTCTTCCTGTAAAAGTTCAGGGCCCAGCAATGCAAGGCACACTTGGTTTCGTTCTAAATTTGCTTGTCCTCCCCCTCCCTCTCCCCATGGATAGTAAAGGTGTATGGGAATGGTTTGAAGTTGCATACATTGTTTTTGGGTTTGTTTGTTTGTTTTAAATCTTGATTTTTCTTTTCACTTTGACGATTTCTCTGTAATTGAATCTTCAGTGAACACTTAGAGTTCTTAACCATATTTAAAATTGACTTGCCTCTGGTGTACATGGGTGATTTGAGGATAACTAGCCAGTTCAGGGCCTGCCTGGGAAAAGGGCCTGCAGATAGATGTATGAGGCTCTGGCCCTGTCCTGAGGTACAGGGCATGCCTACGTGAGAACCCCAGGCCTGTCATTGTCCAGCAGGGTCTCAAAGGCAAAGGTGGTTACAGTGTCTTAGTGCTTCCTGTGGTCAGCCAGGAAGATGGTCCCGAGAACCTCCCCAGGCTGGAGCAGGGGCACCTGGTATCCCGAGAACCTCCCCAGGCTGGAGCAGGGGCACCTGGTGTGAAGTAGTCATACACGACAGTTTGAGAAGTCAACACCAAAGCCCCCTCTGGTACTCTGGCTTAGGTAGAACTAGATAAAACGTAGTTTTTAGATGCTGCCTTTCAGGGCACAGGGTGAGGCAAGCCCCTTTGGCTGTCAGTTAACCGGCTTTACCGGTTACCACTTGCTTGGAAATAGAGTAAAACGATTTTCAGATTTGTGCCGTATTTGTTAACATTTGAAAGGAACCATGCAGGAGTCATCTAAGGTCTGCTAGCAGTTTCTAACAATTTTCCAGCTGTAATCAATATAAACAAACCTTGTCTGAGTGTCTTACCTTGTCCTGCAGCTGGACAAATCAACAGTGTAAGATTTCCACACATTGATCTGTGATTGGTTGTGCTTTAGAGCATAATAAAAGCAGTGTGGTTGTTCGCTCCTATTTCTATTCTTTTAACTCATTTTAGTATTTTTTGTTTCCCAGGAGGCAGCCAAATTTGACAAGAAGGTGCTGGTCTTGGATTTTGTCACACCAACTCCTCTTGGAACTAGATGGGGTGAGCTTCTGAGATGCTGTCCTTGTGGCTTGTTGGAAGTGGTCCTAAAACCCAATCTAGAGAGCTTACAAGATTAGAAATAATAAAAGCCAAGTCTTCCCCGAGATCTGAGTTAAAGGGGATCCAGTTAAATGTGGTAGATTTAGGTTCAGCAGAAACCCTGACCACGAGCTGGCTAAGATGGCAGACGGTGGAGTTTGAAGCTCTTTAAGCATCCTCCCCTAAATCCTCCCCCTGCATTTAGATGCCTAAATGTCAAGTCAGCTGTAGCAATTGTGTGTCTCGGAGAAGCAGATGTTGGCTGCTCACTCATTGACTGGGTATTGGTTACTCGTGAAGCGTGGGACTGTAGTGGTGAACTTGCTCTAGAGGCTCCTGTCCCTATGGAGCTTGTACGCCTGTGGGAAGCAAAAGTGAGCCCTTCACTGTTGGTGGTGAGAGCCACGGGGGCTCCCGGGTAGGGGAGGGTTAGCTGGGGGCTCCCGGGTAGGGGAGGGTTAGCTGGGGGCTCCCGGGTAGGGGAGGGTTAGCTGGGGGCTCCCGGGTAGGGGAGGGTTAGCTGGGGGCTCCCCGGGTAGGGGAGGGTTAGCTGGGGGCTCCCGGGTAGGGGAGGGTTAGCTGGGGGCTCCCGGGTAGGGGAGGGTTAGCTGGGGGCTCCCGGGTAGGGGAGGGTTAGCTGGGGGCTCCCGGGTAGGGGAGGGTTAGCTGGGGGCTCCCGGGTAGGGGAGGGTTAGCTGGGGGCTCCCGGGGGGGGGGAGGGCTCCCGGGTAGGGGGGGTTAGCTGGGGGCTCCCGGGTAGGGGAGGGTTAGCTGGGGGCTCCCGGGTAGGGGAGGGTTAGCTGGGGGCTCCTGGGTAGGGGAGGGTTAGCTGGGGGCTCCCGGGTAGGGTTAGGGTTACCTGGGGGAGTTGGAAGGCGGGGTTTCTGAAGGCGTGCCCACTGGATGCACTGCAGGGGAGATGTGTACTCAGTCTCACAGGGGACTGATAGGTCCCCACCAGTTAAGAGTCCTTAGTGGGTACAGCTGGGTAGTCAGTCGGAGCTGGACAAAGTAAAGTGGAAAAAAAGACAGGTCCAGCTGTACAGTACTTTACAGGCCAAGTCGGGGACTTTGGACCAGTGAGGCAGTTATTGGCTCCTTTGAGGAGTCTGAGGCCAGAGAAATAAGTACATTTATAAAGATTGCTTGGCTCCTTACATTAGCAGTTAGCTAGCAAGCGGTAGTGCAGCCAGATGGCATCGCAGCCTATCAACTCATCCATTCAGCAAATAATTAGTGTTTAACACCCCACGGGGCACTATTGTTGGTTCATCCCCTGAGCTGTGCAGTTTGGACTTCGTGGTTGGACTCCCCAGAGGAGACTTATATGTGCATGCCTTGGGACCGGGAGCCGCATAGCCATCTCTCCTCCCTGCCTGCATGCTCTGATAGAAGGAAGTGATCACAATGTTATCTAAGCTTAGAGGTGACTATTTTGGGAGCGAGGAGCTTTCCCAAAGGAGTTCTTTGGAGAATCAATGAAAACTATAGGCTGCTGCCTCAAAAATTCACAGGCACCAATTTTTATACCTATTTTCAGACCTCCGCCTAACCGTGCCTCTTTATTTCTGTGTGTAGACTTAGTAGCAAGTATAGCATTATACACATGGTAACAATTCAGTTTTTCTGCCACCATCAACCATTTGGATCTGGGCGTTACAGAAATTGTAGAAGTCTGCCTGTTTTGTTTCAAGGTGGCTATGTGCTCTGTCCATAGGCCCTATAATTGTTGAAGTGCCACGAGGCTTGAGAGCAAACTTTAACTGTATTGGCCACATTAAGCAATAATAATAATAGTGTCTCATTACATCCTAAGTATCTCTGGCCTCTTTGAAGGCCCTGGAGTGGGCCTGTAAACTGACTTTGATTTCTCTTGTTGCAGGTCTAGGAGGAACGTGTGTGAATGTGGGGTGCATACCTAAAAAGTTGATGCACCAGGCAGCTTTGTTAGGACAAGCCTTGAAAGACTCACGCAACTATGGATGGAAATTCGAGGACACAGGTATCAGAGAGAAGGGTCTTTGAGCTGTGGCCTCTCGATGTCCATCGAAATATCTGCAGCTTGGTTCTGCAATGAGTTCTGCTAGTAGCTCAGAGTGGCCTGGGTTAGTCCCAGAGCTATGCGTGGTAACATATCAGAAGCTCTTCTTGAACTTGGAGCTTCTGGGGTGCTGTGACAGGCACTCAGGGCTGTGCAGAGTACTTAGCTGTAACTAATGCACTGCATGAGAGTTCATACCACTGTTTTTGGGCGTTAAGTGACAGCTACACTCCTACATCATGTGGCTAGCAATGACTTAGCGGGTTTGAGGCTTGCCTCTCACTTGCTAGCATTGTAACAAGTCCATTACCTACTATTTTTACTTAAAATGCAGTACTTAAAAAACTAAAGGAAAACCAAAAACAAACACAACCCACATAGGACAGAGATTGGTAAAACATTGGTAGCTACTAGAGTTAGATGACTGGCAAATGGGACAAGACTATGTTCTGCCCTCTCCCATTCCTAGTGGACAGTGGGTTCTGCTCTTCCAGGCCGGCTTTCAGCTCCCTACAGCATCCGCACCCCCAAGTACCTAGTTCCCTTGGCTCCACGGCCTCTAAGATGAACTGATCTCATAAAGTTGGATCTAGCTCTAACACTGCGTGGAGTGTTTCCACTTGAAGAAGCAGAATGTTACGTCTCACAGGCCTGCTTCATGTGCGTGGTGGCCAGGCTGCTTGACGAGCGCGTGTAGATTCTAACTTCTCAGGAGAAGTTGTTTCTTCTTACCTCGGCCTCCTTGGGGCTTCTTTTCTCCTTACCTCTGGAGTGTATTTTATCTGTGCCTTGGTTTCTTTGAGTCATTAGTAACAGTGATTAACCAAAGACTAAAGGTCGATTTTGTTGGTGGCTGATGGGTTTTGGGTTTGGTTTGGTTTTTTGAGAGAGCATTTCCCTGTGTAGCTCTGGCTGTCCTGGGATTCACTTTGTAGACGAGGCTGGCCTCAAACTACACATCTGCCTGCGCCTGCCTCTGTTTCCCGAGTGCTGAGATTAGAGGCATGTTGTAAAGACTTACTCTGTAGTCCAGGCTGGCCTGGGATGCACTGGAAGCTCGCTCAGCTGCCCTCTTAAGCACTGGTGTAGGCGTGTGCCTGTCAGAAAAGATCGATTTTTATAAATTGAAATTTTGAGATCTAGTATTTAGTGTCTTGATTCAAAGGACTAATTTAATTACAGAATGGAAAATTTTCTTTTTTCCAGGAGAGGATTTGGGGACCATAGGATTTCAAGTTCTCTGAATTAAGGAACTAGCAAACTTGTAGATAAAGCGAGTGTTTGAGATGTTGGGGGCCATTGCATATAGTTTCTGTGGCAGTCACTCAGCTCTGTCTTCATATTGTGAAGATAGCTTGAGATGATAGTTAGTGAATTTGGCTATATTCAGTAAAATATCATCTACCAAAATGGTGACAGGCCCATGGTGCCACAGTGTGACCACACAAGCATGTGCCCCACAGCAGCCTACAGCAGAGTCTGAGTTTGTTGCAGAAACGGCCCTAGCTTTAAGGGCACCCTGTTCCCACTAGTCAGTGTCTGTAACCCAAGTAAACTATCCATTCGCATCTCGATAAAGGAGAAAGGAATTTGTGTTGCGGTTTGGGATCCTGGACGTGAGCAAGTGGCCTTTGTGCCCCAAGAGAACTTGTTCTTCTGGGTTGAAACCCCCAGGCTCCCTCCAGGTGGGAAGGACTGAGTGTTTCCTCTCTTCTCATGCAGTCAAGCATGATTGGGAGAAGATGACAGAGTCCGTGCAGAATCACATCGGTTCGCTGAACTGGGGCTACCGAGTAGCTCTTCGGGAGAAGAAGGTCGTCTATGAGAACGCCTACGGGAAATTCATTGGGCCTCACAAGATTAAGGTGACTGAAAGCTTCATTCTATACTTCTACCCGCCCCCCCCCCCCTGTTTTCATCGGTGTCACAGAGAAGATCATGTCCACTATGTTTTTAAAAAATCAAATAAGTGTCAGAGTTAAGGCTACTGTGACCTAGATTGTCCAGCTGGGCTACTTTGCTGTCACACTTGATGGGACCTTCTGTGGGACATTTGTGTTGGTGGCATGCCAAGGTCCTAAGCTTGAATTTGAGGCTTGCCTCTGTAGCATGCTAGCACTATTGCTTAGGGCACTATTCACTGCTCATCCTTTAGTGTCTCTTACTGTCATGAGGACTGAGGGAGACTTGTGTACATGCCCTTTACTAACCGTAAGAGTCTAAGGAATAGTCCTCTACTGGAATTGACATTATTTCCTTTGCAGGCAACAAATAACAAAGGCAAAGAAAAAATTTATTCAGCAGAGCGGTTTCTCATTGCCACTGGGGAAAGGCCACGCTACCTGGGCATCCCTGGAGACAGAGAGTACTGCATCAGCAGGTGGGCGTGGCGGGCACAGGGGCGGTCCCTTCCTCTTATTCATTGCTTGAGTTGTTTGCTTTGTGTTGTCGCCGGGGATTGGAAGAAGCAAGGGACTTGCGCCATTGTAAAAGTTGAAAGCTACAAGCATGCCATCCTGCTGTGCCGTTGGCACTACACTGGCAACATAACCTCGCCAGATGTACGTCTCTCTTTGCAGGCAAAATTAATTTAAACGCATTTGAAAACTAGGTGGCTGTTCGGAACATTTTTAAAATAAGTGTGTATCGCGTACTCGTTACAAGTGTGTTTTTTTTTTTTTTTTTTAAACGTACGTTTACTTTTACAAAGCTAGGGCCATGTCCTTGTTAACACTAGGGAAGTACAGACTGGGGGGATTAGTGTTCATGAGCCCCTGGCCCCTCTGCCCCGCTCCTCTAGGGGTTCAGCGCCCTGTAGCAGGGCTTTCTAAACATATGTATCAAGACAAAAGACTTTGCCCATCCAGGGATAACGCTTTCCGGGACCGTTGCTTGCTTGCGGAGTTCTAAGTTCCAGTGTCATTAGGACACACCGCCCATCTCTGTCTTTTTGGAAGCTTTTTTTTTTTTTTGCCTGGGAATTTCTGGTTGTGCTTTACCTGCTGCTTTCATTCTTTTAGAAGTATGAGCGCCCCTCCCCCTCCCCCAGCCTCGTGCCGACAGGGGCGGTTCTGATGTTTCTGTCCCTCCAGTCTGGAATGTGTGGGCTTGATTAGTCCGTTTGGGCTGTTGTACCACAGTGACGAACGGGGATTTGAAATTCTGGAGGTTTGAAAGTAACCCGAGGCACACTGGCCATAACTTCTGCCTGAATTACCAAGCTGGTAGATGGTGCTTCCCTGTGCTTTCCTCGTGTGGTGGAAAGGATGGTGTCCCCTCTGCAGGGTTCTTTGTAGGCTGCAGTCCATGCGTAGGCGCTAGGCCTTTATGATCTATTAAAAACCTGTTTTTTTAACACTGGCACACTCGGGAAGAATGTAGCAGGGATTTTGATGTTTGGGCCCAAGAATGTTCATACCCTAGGAGACTCCCTTCCTGTTTTTATTTTGTTAAAATTAGTGTTTCACTATGTAGCCCTGGCTATCCTAGAACTCACTATGTGACCAGGCTGGCCTTGAACTCACAGAGATCCACTTGCTTCTGCTTGTTGAGTGCTGGGATTAAAGACTTGCACCACCACACCTGGCTGTTGTTTACTTCTAACTCAACTACAAAATTTTTGTTGAGTTAAAATCCTATAACTTTTTATATTATAAAAAATAGGTTTTCAAAATGTTCTTCCTCTCTTCTCCCCATTCTTGATAACTGGGTGTTCCTGGTAAGGAGGTAAACTGACCCAGGAATGAAACTGAGGGTAGATCAGTGGGAGGTTGGGTTTGCACAGGGGTCATGTTTTCCAGATGGCACAAAATATCTGTGGGATCTCATACCAGAACTTTCTCCAGTGGCTGTATTTTGTGACCATCTTTGAAAACTGGCTGGGTATGTCCAACAAAGAATAGTATGCCAGACTTTTAGGATTTTCTCACCTTGTATGTATAGTGTCTTAACAAATGTTTAAAATATGAAAAGTTCCAGTCTTGGGAAAGTGGAAAATACTTGCATCTTTATTCTTATCTGAACAATATCTTTTTGTACCTTTTCTCTCCCCTTAACTTTTTCAGTGACGACCTTTTCTCCTTGCCTTACTGCCCGGGCAAAACCCTAGTGGTCGGAGCGTCCTACGTTGCTTTGGAATGTGCGGGGTTTCTTGCTGGTATCGGCTTAGATGTCACTGTAATGGTACGATCCATTCTCCTTAGAGGATTTGACCAGGACATGGCCAACAAAATTGGTGAACACATGGAAGAACACGGTGTCAAGTTTATAAGGCAGTTCGTGCCGATTAAAGTAAGTGGTTTTCTGTGGGGTTGTTGGATTTATATTCGTGGGAAAAGGCAGAAGGCAGGGTTAGTGGTAGAAGCAGGCCTTTGAGCATTATAAACATGAGGAGTGCTGGGCATTACCAGTAGGGCATTCTTCCTCTCGACATTCCTCAACCCGTGGTTCTTGATTCCTTTGGGTGGGTGGGGTCAAATGACCTGTTCACGGGGGTCACCTAAGACCATTAGAAAAATGTGAATCAAATTCACATTACGATTCATAACAGTAGCAAAATTACAGTTAAGGACTAGCCGAAAATAGCCGGTTGTGGTGGAGAATGTAGGTAGGATTTGCTGAAGGAGACAGAGGCAGGAGGATGATGAGTTCAAGGCCAGCCTGGGCTAGCCTTGAACTAGTTCAATTCTAGCTGGGCAGTAGTAGTGCACGCCTCTAATCCCAGCACTTGGGAGGCAGAGGCAGGTGGATCTCAGGGAGTTTGAGGCCAACCAGAACTGTTACAGAGAGAAACTGTCTCAAATCCCCCCTCCCCAATTAGCCAAAAATAATTTTATGTTGGGGGGGGTCACTACAACATGAAGAACTGTATTAGATTGCAGCATTAGGAAGGTTGAGAACCCTTGCTCTGGCCGGCTTTAGAGGAACAGGTGTAGCTCTTACTTGCATTGGGCTGTAATTAGGAGACTGTGTGTGTTGTACTGGTGAGAAGTATTTTCTTTTCTGAAATGTAGCAGCTTCCTGGATAATGTCAGTGTTCAAGAGGTTGTAGACCCTTTAGGGAGCTGATGGGCTGTCCAGTGGTGTCTGATACCCGTAGCGTGTCAGTAGGCTGTCAGGACACCTGTGTGTAGTAGGCAGGGGTGTTTGTTCTGCAGCTGATGCAGGAGGCTTCCCACTCCTTCCCTGTATCCCTAGCAACTGTGAACTCCACTTAAACCTCCACTGTGCCTTTTAGTCCGTTCTGTATTTAAACCCTAACTCACACACTTCACTGTTCTTCGTCTGTGAAAGCTGGACATTTGTAGCCACGAGATGCTCTCAAAGTGTGTGATACCTAACCGGGAGGGAGGCAGGGAGGCGGCGGTGGGTGATGTGGTCCATCTGTGCCTTCTCTCTTCTTTCCCGCTTTCCGCCTGCATCTCTCTGTGTAAGAATTATGTGAGGAAAAGCCTGTCAAGTAAACAGTGTTGTACAGGAGCAGAAGGTCAGTGGAAGTTGTTTATCCTGGCGTTGCTGTGTGAGTGAGGGAAATGGATGTAAAAGCCCTTTCTGGGCTAAGTTCTGTTGCACCGAGGACAAAGAGAAAGGGAGGAGACCTTATCCGGTCCTCTTATCTGTGTCTCTGCTTAAGAGCAAAACTTGATGACTTTTACAGGTTGAGCAGATTGAAGCAGGGACCCCAGGCCGACTCAGGGTAACTGCTCAGTCCACGAACAGTGAAGAGACCATGGAAGGCGAATTTAACACAGTAAGGCATGGGCCCAGGCCACCCTTATTGGGTGTCTTATACACCTCAAATGACTCCTCTTTCTAAAATACCCCATCTTTAGCCATTCTAAGACATCTTAATTACTCTGATAGAGACTTTATCTTGGCGTGCTGTGTTAAGTGGCCGTGACTAGCAGAGGTTGTTCATGAGTAGACTTTCTTTTTGTCATTTAGGAAATAATTGAGCTATGGACTATACTCTTTGTTTTGAGTTTGTCTAGCCTAACACTAACCCTGTCCTAACTCGGCCACTATACCTAAACTGAACCCTAACCAAAGCCCTAATTTAAGGCAGCAACTCCCTCCCTTTCTGTTAGGAAATGCCAAGGGATGTTCGCTATATCTATCTGTTCAGCAGACTTTAAAAACAAAAGGTTTCCATTCATTCACACCCTTGTATTTTGTTAATGAAATGTGTTTTCCGGGTCTGGATATAAGAGGTTTGTGCAGCGGTCTTTGTTGATTGTTTGTTTATCCTTTTTCAGGTGTTGCTGGCAGTAGGAAGAGATTCATGTACCAGAACGATCGGCTTAGAGACAGTGGGTGTGAAGATCAATGAAAAGTAAGGGGGCGGGCGTGGCATCCGGTGGGGGTGGGGTCCGTCGTTAGGATTTTCACTCTCAGACACTATGTTAAAGGGGGATGGGGTTTATGTTTTGAAATATTTTCCATATTTGATTTTCAAAGTAGTCGCTAGCCTGTTCAGGGAGCGCTCGGATTCCTGTGCTCGGTTTTGTTCTTAGTGATTGGAGCAGTTTCTGGGGAGGAAGAAGACTCCGTTTTACTTCACTAATCTTGGCAGTTGATGGTTGCAGGACTGGAAAAATACCTGTCACGGATGAAGAGCAAACCAATGTGCCTTACATCTATGCTATTGGTGACATTCTGGAGGGAAAGCTGGAGCTGACCCCCGTGGCCATCCAGGCCGGGAGATTGCTGGCTCAGAGGCTGTACGGGGGCTCCACCGTCAAAGTGAGTCCGGGGCTGGCGCCCTTCGAGGCTGTTTTCCGGGGCTGGCGCCCTTCGAGGCTGCCCCTCTTCATTCTCTTTTTTTCTCCACGTGAAACAGTGTGATTATGACAACGTTCCTACAACTGTATTTACCCCTTTGGAGTATGGCTGTTGTGGCCTGTCTGAAGAAAAGGCTGTGGAGAAATTTGGGGAAGAAAATATTGAAGTGAGTTCTCCTTTCTTTTTGTGTTACTTTTTCCAAAAATGTAAGGTGGTCTCAAATGTGCAGAAAACTGCAGTTATAAATGGATTAGAGCATTTTATTTTTAAAAAATTTATTCTGTGTTTACTAAAGCTGCTCTATCACCCTCATAACATAGACAGGGTGGTGATTCTCTTTTGTCTTTTTTGTTTTTACAATGATCAAGTCACCGAAAATTTACTCTAATTTTTAAAGGCTTATTTATTTTTGTTTCATGTGTATGAGTGTTTTGCCTGAATATATCTCTGTACCACACGTGTGTACCCTTGGAGGCCAGAAGGTATCAGATCCCTTGGAATGAGAGTTACAGGTGGTCGTGAGCTGGGGTGGTTACAGGTGATAGATGCTGGGAATTGAACCCTGGTCCTCTGGAAGACCTCCAATGCTGCTTGTCTGTGAACATTCCTCTAACCATTGTTCATTTCTGTAATTATTATCTGACGATTGACTGTCTGATAAAGAAGTCAGCTAAATAATGTAAGAACGATTCTGTGCAGGCATCAGATCATGAGTTCAAATCTCCAGCACTCTAATAAATTCGGCATTGGTGGTGGGAGGAAGGGCAGGTGGGATTGACAGGATGGATGCTGGTCATTTGCTGGCTACTAGCTCCAGGGTCAAGGGGACAAGGCAGAGGGAAAGAAGAGGATTCTTAGTGGCATCCATTCTGTTGCGGTATTCCTTCTCTGGTATCCTCGTGGGCACGCACAGACCTGCATAAATGTTACTTCCCTAAGTGTCCCAGTTAGAGTTCCTATTTCTGAGAAGACACCATGTCCACGGCAACTCTTATAAAGGAAGCAGTTGAGGCGGTGGCTCAGAGTTCAGAGGTTTAGTCCATTACCGGGGTGGGAAGCATGCCGGCCTGCAGGCAATGTAAATATGTTTTCCATGGTCTTAGGTGACCCCTGTGAAAGGGTCAAGACCCCCAGTTTGAAAACCACTAACAAGGTGGTCACTTTGTATTTTTGTGGGGTGGGGGGGCATTAATACATCTGTTAGGTAGCTCTGGCTGTCCTAGAACTCCCTCTGTAGACCAAGCTGGCCTCCAATCCACAGAGATCCACCTGCTTCTGCTTCCTAACTAAGTGCTGGGATTAAAGGCGAGCGCTGTCTCACCTGTAGGTAAGACAGTAATCACGGGGCTTCTTTCTTCATGGTCTTGGTCTTTCTGTGAAGTCACTTAAGGTTTACCAAGCATGTTGAAATACGCAAGATCAGTCAAAGGGGCTTGAAAACAAAATGCCAAATCATTTGCCTTTTTACCGAGTCACATTTATTTTATGAACTGTATTGTTTACCAGAATGCTAATTATTGTGAAGTACCCCCACAGCCACTGCTCGACTCCAGCCCACGGAAGGTAGGTAACGCCACATTGTGCTTAAATCTTCCCAGGTTTACCACAGCTTCTTTTGGCCATTGGAATGGACGGTTCCATCCCGAGACAACAACAAATGTTATGCAAAAATAATCTGTAATCTTCAAGACAACGTAAGTGGGGTGATAATCTCATGGTAATGTTTAGCTTTTGGCCGTGAGATGTGTGTGCCATTAGCACTCAGCGGTTGGTGTCCCCAGCCCCAGGGACACCATTTGAGACCAGGGTCTTGGTTCTTCTGTCCACTCATCTAGCCCTCTGCAGGCAGTCAGAGCACACTTGAGTGAAGGAAGTCCAGGACACTTGGAACTTCTCTGTGTCAGTGAATGAAAAGCAATGAAATCCTCCGCTACCTAAAAAGGTGCCCTCCCCCCACAAAAAGACCAAAGCCCAGGTGGCCTGCTGCTTTAACCCTCAGAGCTGGCAAGAGAGAAAGCGTGATGGGAGGAACCCTCATCCAGCCGGCTTCCTGGCTGAGATTTAAACACATCTATCTACAGTGTGAGAGAGAGACTGAATGCATTCATGGTGTTCAAGCTTTTTCACTGTTACCACACAGTGAGAAATATATTTTATATCTCAGAAAACACACTGTCTTTAAATACTGTATCAGAAACTGATTTCCCTCCCCCCCCCAACGGAACCAGCACTTGACCTTAAAAATCCCTTCAGGAAAAATATGAATAATGCCAAAACCTTGCCGGTCAGTGATGGCACCCACTTTTAATCCTAGCACTCCGGAGGCAGAGGCAGGCAGATCTCTGTGAGTTTGAGGCCAGCCTGGTCTACAGAGAAACCTGTCTTGAAAAACTAAAATAAATAAATAAGCCCAAACCTTATACTAAACACCTAGGGATTGGACCCAGACACTGCACAAGCAAAGGGCTGATTAAATTTTTATGTTTTCCTGCATACGGATATGCAAACCTAAGATGACAGCACATGGATGTACCTTACCCGCACCCCAAGCCTGCAGTTGTCTGATGAATAGCAAGGCTGACAGCAGAGGGACCTTTGGCTGTTTCCATCGAAGCCTCTGCACAGTGCTGCCTCACATTTTGTGAGCAGGGTGGGCCGGTCTAGTCTGTCAGCTCTGCAAATTCACCAGTTGGACAGTGGACAGCACAAGGCTGTTCTGGGCAGAGAGAATCTCCTTGAATAAATAATGCTCACTGGGTATCAGTTTCCAGGTGCTTCCCTTCTGTGAGCCTGTGGAAGGAAGGGTGTGTCCCCCTTCTGTGAGCCTGTGGAAGGAAGTGTGTGTCCCCCTTCTGTGAGCCTGTGGAAGGAAGGGTGTGTCCCCCTTCTGTGAGCCTGTGGAAGGGTTTGGACAAGATCTGAGCTGCTCTCCTATACCAGAATGTTAGCTAAAGGATCTTGAAATTTGAGTGACTACTTTAAGTCTCTCATCACGGATCATTTTGTCAGGTACTGAGACAACCAGATAGAGAACCTGGGTGCTGCCCTCTGCTGGAGCTTCCTGGAGTGGTTGTGTGGCTAGGGCGCTGCGGGCGCTGTGCCTTTCCAGTTTCTCCTCTGTTGCCCTCAGTTTTAGGTGTTTTCTTTCTGCTTGGTTTGAATGTAGGCTCCCTGTTGCCCTTGCGAAGTCATTGCCTTCTGCAGCACGTATTTGGGCGGCCATTTCTGTGAGGGGCTTCCTAGAACTTCCTGAGGAAGTACCTCAGGGTGCGAAGAGAGGAGAGACCATGTACCCATGCCACTTTATTTTGTGTTGCAGGAACGTGTGGTGGGCTTCCATGTACTGGGTCCAAACGCCGGAGAGGTGACGCAGGGCTTCGCAGCTGCGCTCAAGTGCGGGCTGACCAAGCAGCAGCTGGACAGCACTATCGGTATCCACCCTGTCTGTGCGGAGGTGAGTCACACGCACTTCCCAGCTCCGTTGAAAAATGCCCACGTTTGCCCTCGTTTGGAGCGGCAGACCTTGGCATTCTTCCAGTATTCTAGAGTAGCAGTGATTGATAATTCCTCAGCAGAAGGCTCGCCTTCCAGACTGCGGGTTGCCCTTTTCATATTTATGGTATAGACAGGAGACTCCTGCCCGGTGGATAAAAAAGTGTTGAGGATACTTACAACAGAAACGACCTTAAATCTTTTATTTATCAGTGGTCATGGTAGCACGTACCTTTAATTACAGTATTTGGGACTCAAAGGCAGTCAGATGTGTGTGAGTCTGAGGCTAACTTTGTCTACAAAGCAAAGCAAGCTCTGGGCCAGCCAGGGCTACATAGTAAGACTGTCTCAAAGAAAGAAACAGTAACAAAACCCCTCACAACTTTATTACTATATGTCCTGAAGTGTTTCCATGGTGATTACTCATCTTCTATGTTAGTTGTCTGGGGGAGTCTCAAAGCTAAAGATGGTGTCTGCCTTTGAACTGTGGGTGCCTGAGAATGATACTCACACAGCAAATGATAGTGAAACTGGAAACCGCCAGTGTTGGCTCACGTCTCTGATTGCCCAGGCTGGAGTACTGTCACTGTGCAGGGATCATAAGCTGACGTTCAGTGGGAGAGCCCAGTGGTTTAGACGTGGGCTGAGAGCGGCGGCTTTCATCTGTGGGCCGTGGTCATATGTTGTGCTGTGTGTGTGTGTTCTTCATGGATTATTCTGCAGCTCATAACTGGTCGGTTTCTGTTTCCAGTTATGCTTGTACAACTGAACTCTTTGTGGACCATAAGGAATGTCAGCTTTAGGAAGCGAGGGACTGAGAAAGGGGCTCGATGGGTAAAGGGCTTTTTTCACAAAAGAGGACCTGAGCACTCTGGTGTGGTAGCGTGCCTCTGTGACCCCAGAACAGGGTGGGGTTGTCAAAGGCTCAGGTTCAGGGGTCGACCCTGGAAACAGGTTCAGTGACAGACTGTCTAAAGACAAGGTGGAAAGCAACAGAAGGCACCTGAAGTTAACTTCTGGCTCCCACATGAGTGTGCGTGTGCACCCACACATGTGCATGAACATACACCATACACACACGATACATACTCACACATGTACATGAACACATCCGACATACACACGGTACATACCCACACATGTGTACACACACACACACACACACACACACACACAATAGATACCCCCACACATGCATACACACACAATACATACACACGCCCATGATACATACTCACATGTACATGAACACACACACACACGATACACACAGGCTTGGGCGTAGCTTGGTAGAGTGCTTGGCTCAGCATGCATAAGGCCTTGATCCAACCCCAGCGCTTAGCTGGGCGTGGCAGCACACACCTGTTATCCCAGCGCTTAGGTGGCGGTTCAGAGTCTTTCTCAGCTGCACAGTGAATTTGGACTCAGAATAGGCTAAAGACCCCGTCTTTAAACAGACAGGGACATAGGCACAGAAAAACACCGAGCTTGTGCTTGCTTTGTGTCATTGGGAAGGGAGGTGAACTGGGTAGAGCATGGCGCAGCTGCAGTCCAGGTCCAGCGCTGTGGCTGTTATGTTGGAGAGGAGGGGATGGAAGTTTGGAGGCAAAACAGCACTGACTACCAGAGAGCAAACTTGAGGAAGTGTTGCCAGGGCCTCCCACTGACGGGATGTAGCCGCTGATGTGTGCCAGGCTCTGTGCTCTCCCCGTGGTCGCCTCTCCATCCCTCTCCGTGGGAAGTTGAGGGCAGCACCTTGTGGTGACACGGAGGACAGATCACAGGGCTTGGCCCACGGTTGCCCGGCCTGAGGTGACCTCACTCAGTAACTGCTTCTCAGTGAAGTCTGACACATCTTGGCCTTTCAGCTTGGCTTGCAGCAAAGTCGGCTGAACTAGGAACAGTGTCCAGTGTGGACTTGACAGAGAGGCTGTGGTGACAAGCGCCTAGACCCTAGCATTTGCGGGTGACACTATCAGCAGACTCTGTGGCTGGTCTCCCCAGGGTCCTCCCCTAAGGAGAAACAGCTTGACTGGAAGGTTTTTGTTTGTTGCCATAGATCCTTGCCCATGAACTCTATTAGAAACTAGAATTTTGGCAACTCAAACTTTCTCCTCCACAGAAGTTGTTCTGATAGGAACAGCTTGGTTTAGAAAAGTAAAATTTGACTTGAAGGGGTGCTCTCTGGGGAAGGTTGCTCTGATCTGGGTATCTGGGAGGCAGTGTCTAGACATTTGCCGTCGGCAATGCTTTCCAGTGTGGTTGCTGTTGGTCTGTGACAGAGGGGGACAATAAAGGGAAAGGGCTCAGAAACTTGAGCCATTTAAATTAAATAAATTGAGCCATTTAAAAGGCACTAATTTACGTGCCTTTTAAAATTTCATTTCCTAATACGTCTTATTGAATTTCACAATGTCAGTCATAGACAGAAATAATGGTTAACTAGAAAGCAGTCCTGAGCCAGTGAGAAGTGTTCTGAAATGGCCGTGGCGCCCAGGCCGTTGGCTGCCTTACAGAGGATCACTAAGTGAATTGTCTGCCGCCACATAAAAGAACCCAGGAAACAGCATTGTTCATGGTTCCCCTCAGAGGAGTAAGTACTACGGACATGGAAAGATTCTCCAGTTGACACTGTGTCTTTAGGCAATACAATTTCCTTCTGGAAATTTCTGTAGGAAACTGTCTTGTTGTGATTAGAGGTCTTGGAGAAACCCAGTGCCTGGAGTGTCAGTAATGCCTGAGTGATGTTGGAGTGATTCCCGCTAATCAGCTTCACTTGTGGGGGGGGCGGGGAAGCTAACACAGAAAGCGCATCAGTAAGATCCCTTTAAAATGTCTGATTCCTTAAATGAAGCTGGCTACAGCAGCTCATGCCATGTTAAGGTGAGAGGGGGGAGCCGGGGATTCCAAGCTGAGTCCAGCTTAAGCTACACACAGTGAGACCTTGTCTCCAGAAAATAAAATTACCAAGGCTGTCTTAAGACGCGTCAAGAACTTTCGCTTGTTTTTAGCGTTCATTGGGGTCTCATTCTAAAGAGAGTGGGAACTGCAGGGCACAGCCACACCCGGAAGGCCTCAGTGTATCGGTGGAAGCTCTTGAAGCACTTCCTCTGGAGTGTCCTGTGTGCTGCCTTCCGAGGTCATTTTTTACAGACAGCTACTCTTGTTAAAGTTCTGAAGCCATGCGTGGTACAAGAGTTGATATCTGAAAAATCAGCCCTCCCATTTTTCCATTGGTCTGGTGTCGGGGATGGCTCGATTCTGCTTCTTTTTAGTAGCATTTTAAATGCTCGCACTCAAGATGCAAGCTTGCAAGAGTTTGCTTATGTTCATCCCCTTGCTCATTTCTCTCCTCTCACAAAGATGGGGAAGAGCTCGTCTGGTGGTGTCTTAAATTGTACACAATGCCACTATCCTGACAGCTACTTCATTACCTCACATTGTCCGTCCTTCTCTGTAACGCACATTTTTTAAACAAAGGAACTGTGCTCCTTTTCAGAAGCAGTTGGCTGGCTCTCAGTGTGTTAGCATTCAATGTGAGGGTGCTAATGAGCCTTCTGAATTCAGTGTGAACGTACTTTTTTCTGTAGTTACAAAGGGGATGACTACTTCAGGGATTTCATCCTTGCTAACAAAGATGAATTCCCTGTTACAGTGTCTTGGTTTTGAATGTGAATTAGCCATATTGTAGGAATTGGGCTGAGGTTTTGAACTGCTGCTGGTTATAGGAAAAGGCTATGTCTCTATGCAAAAGGTTAAGCCTGTGCAAAGGCTCTTGGGATCAGAAGTCCCCTCTCATCTGAAGCCTGCTTGATTGATTCCAGTTGCTTTGGTCCATGTACATCAAGATGGCCTTGATTTCTTGCTCTATTCTCCTCGTATTAAGTAACGACGCCTCATCTGTGAATAGCGGTACTCGAGATGCCCACAGGAGAATTGCTTTGAGCTTGAAACCAGTCTGGGTGACAGAGTGAGATCCTGTCTCAAATAAAAAGTCAATATTCAAAGAACCAAGTTTTTGAGAGCCAGTAAAGGTATTATTTGGCACAAAGGTTTGTCCCAGAGCATCAGTGAAGATACATGCAGTCTGCGTTAGCTTCCTGTAGCAGTCTGCAGGAGAGGCTGCTTGCAGGGCAGGGCAGGGCAAGCCTGTTGGACATGCTTTAAAGGTCCCTAGGTCGGTGCTGACATTTGAAATGCTGAGAGGGTGGAAACAGTCCACCATGTTGTTAAATGTGTAACCTTTGTGACCAGAGTCATTAAGGGGACAGCCTTGAGAACCCTGAGAACTTCACACACACACACACACACACACACACACACAGACACTCACACACACTCACAACACACACTCACACACACACTCACACACACACTCACACACACACACACTCACACACACACTCACACACACTCACACACTCACACACACACACACTCACACACACTCACACACACTCACACACACACTCACACACACACTCACACACACACACACACTCACACACACTCACACACACACTCACACACACACACACACACACACACACACACACACACACACACACACTCCGTGTAGGGAGGCAAGCTCTCTTTGCCTGAGAGGAGCTAGGAGGGATTCAGCAGTGGGCACAGTTCAGGAGTTGGCACGCAACCGTGTACCCACCAGGAGCCACTCTGGGAGTCAGCCCTGAGTACCTGACAGCAGGAAGCTCAGGTGGAACTCGCCAGAGCCTTCCGGCCATTGTGTGTTTGTGCACCTGTAGGCCTGGGGCCTTCAGGGTCTCAGTGCAGTTTGGCTGTGACCGAATGGGTACAGGACAGAAGAAGGACCCGGCGCACTGCTATGGAGACGGGAGGAGGAAAGGGTGGGTGTGGCCAACAAGAGATGCTGCAGATGGAGGCTGCCCCCCCCCTGCATCCTGCGTTCTGTTCTTTCGGTGGCTTTGGTCTGTACGAGCTGGGGTGAGCTCTCCAGTGTGTAAGAACAAGGGTAGCGAGTACCTCTAACCACTAAGTGTTTGCACACGTACAGAACCGCTCGTTCTGGTGCAGTCCCTCCTGTTATGCCCTGGAGAACTGGAGGGCATCCTGGGTGGTACTCCTTTGGCTCCTAAGTCATTTGAATGCACGGGGGCTCGTCAGTTCTGAGCTTTGAAAATGCATGCCTTCTCCCTCTTTCCTACAGATATTCACAACGTTGTCTGTGACCAAGCGTTCTGGGGGAGACATCCTCCAGTCTGGCTGCTGAGGTTAAGCCCTGGTGTGGATGCTGCCGCCAAGACTACAGAGCACTGCCTTGCTTTTGCCCACGTCCAGGTGAAGTTCAGGAAGGCTCTTGAGCTCTCGGCACGGGTGGCTGGGAGAAGGCTGCGGCACCACACTGGGGTCCCCTTGATGGACAGACAGACATTCGGCAGTGCATCAGGAGGATGCGTTCATGAAGTCACCAGCCTCAAGCCCAAAGTGGTGGGCAGTGACAGATCAGCTGTCGGATTTGTTCAGCCAGACCTGCCCTTTAGCTTGTGTAATCTCGTTTTCAAGCTGTCTTATGTCAATTCTAGTTTCCTTTTTCCTTTTTCTTTTTCTTTTCCCCCATGGGGTCAATGATACTAGAGATAGGGAATGTTAGCAATCAGTTTTGTCCAAAAGCATGTCGTGGCTGGACAGCCATCTTACTGTGTGGAAGGGGGATTAATTCACTTATGAGAGCCACACACGTGTGTCCTGAGAAAGAGCAATTGCCCTATGACTAAAATACACTGAGCGTTTTACTGACCTGTGTAGGTAGCATCATCTCTTTTAATAAGCCATGTGTCAGAAACGAGAAAACCACGGTCCGCTTTCTGCAAGTTTCCCTGCTATGCCCATTGCTGAGGCTGCCTAGGAAGGGAGGTGGCTACTTGGCCTGCCCACGTGACCTCCACGGTGGCCTTCACAGTAGTATAGATTGTTGCCATCACAGAGGCTGATGAACGGCACATTTCTTTCTTGATACAGTTGTTGTCCGTTGGTCTGTGTGAGCTGAGATTGTTTGCTTTAAAAGTCTTGTTTTTGTAAGGTGGATTTAGTTTTAAGCTTCTGTCTCCTGAGAACTACATTCATAGACAAGTAGCTTTTTCCAGACATAGCACATAAATCTTCTGAGGTAATTACTTTTGTAAGGAAGCTGTTCATAACATAAGTTATTATTATTATTATTGAACGCAGGTGGATGTGAAGGATTTTCATTGGAAAACCAAATGGTTTTCCCTTTTTCTGTTGAACGAACCCAGCGATTTATCTCCTGGGTTATGTGACTGTGAGCACGCAGGCCGAGGGCTGTGTCCACGCCATCTCTCCCCACTTACACAGCCATCCTGGTCCTGTAGCCCTTTTCCTTGTCCTCGCCTGCAGTACTGAGTGGTGTTTCACACTTCTGGGCCACCTCAGGGAATGTGTGTTTGCCTAGTGTTCACCCAGGAGCACTGTCCCTGCCCCACAAGGCTCCCCCCCCCATCCCATCAGCTTACGTGAAAGCAATCGGAAGAGGAGGGAAGACGGGTATGGAGGGCGTCGCCTCTGTTCAGTTTTATTTATTTTTAAACATTTTTTCACCTAAGTCTGCCAGTCTCTGAGATTAGAATGACAGTGTAGGGTTAACTGTACCTAATCATGTGATTGTCTTAGTGGAATGGAATGTTCTGCCCCCACGAGAAGGAACAGTGGTCATTGTTTGTGTTCTGTAATCGCACAATGTACTGTAACTCAAATTCCAATTCCGTGTATTTTTGTTAAATTTTCTGGGGAAAAAATGTGAAACAGTAAAGGTGTTCATACATGTGTGCCTTCTTATTGAGTGATGGTTTGGGGTTTTTTTTTTTGTTTTTGACACTGCAGAGGGCTGAGAAGGTCTATGGCTTTGTGTTGAATGCTAAAACTTACTCTACGCCTCCGAGGTGCCTTGCTATTGCCTGGGCTGTACCAGCTGAGGTTCCCTTACAGGGTGGTGGCTCTCAGTCACCCTTTCCAGTTCTGACTGGCCTGTCCACCATGGTCTTTCAGGGTGAAAACTAAATCGCCATTAAATTGCGCTCTGGGTGTTGCAATACCATGTGCCTGGAGAGCTGGTGCATTTAGGGTCTGTCAGCCCAGCTAAGCACTCCCCAGCCCCTGTAAGTGCTGTCTCTGGGTTCAGTTAGGAGTTTAGCGACGCTGTGTCACGGTTTCTATGCTCAGTGCACTGTGTCCCCTTAGCGCCGGTTATTAAGCAGAGGGCCCTGTTTTGGGTTAGTTCTTAGCAGGTGTCTTCCCCAAATGTTTCTGCTTTCCAGTATGAGCAAGTGCAGACTGTCATCAGTGATAGACCCATGAGTGCTCTGAAGCATGTGCCAGACATGGGCTGACGCGCCGGCTGTCTCAGCCCCACAGCCCCAAGAGCACAGTGGCGCGTGGTCTCGTCCGCGGCACCCAGACAACGAGGTGTGAGTGGCTTCTCCAGGATTTTAGTCAGTTTGCGGCTCACCAGGTTAGCGAGGCTAGGCCTGTGGCACCAGAACCCAGCTCAGTCCCCTGGCTTTGCTGCATCTCTACAGTGACAGGCAGGCGCCCTGGGCTGCGCAGAACACTTGCACGTGCCATTTCACAGCCCCATTTGGTGCCACCTGTACTCCAAGGTGCCCCCCCCCCACCACACCGTTCCATAGCAGATCTTGCTCCCAAACCACCCTTGGCCCAAGCCCTTGAAGTCTCAGATGTGTAACGGGACCCCACTCTGCCAATTGGGCTTGCCATTCTCTCTGTCCCCAGATACACTGCTCCGCATCACCCCAACCTCAACTGTCTCCTCTCGTGTTGGATAAGGGACCCCATTGGAACCGGTAGATCGGCTTCTCCGGTTTTTTACCTCTGTGCCCTCAGCTTTGGCAAAGGCCCAGTGCTTTGGGGATTGGTGTAACGGTAGGTACACCTCGGATTCGGGCCCACGGGAAAGGAAACTGGCCCGGGAACCGCAGTACTTTAAGGTGTAAGCGTGTGCCCAAGAGGTCTACCACCACTGCTACCCGCTCTTTGGACGGCATTGGCTGGGTCGGGACTGCCCAGATAGCTAACAGGATGTCCACTTCATGTGTCCGTTAGAGCACGCATGTGTGTGTCTTAGCACTGAATCCGATTCAGTAGGGCCCCTCTTACCAGTGGGTGGCCACCCAAGGGGTCCTTGAGGCCCCACGTTGAGCTCTGAGTACATCTGACCTTTCCCGGGGGTGGGGTGGGGCTGCTGCAGCCGATAAGGCACAGTGGCGGTTGGTACCTATGTGGCTGTGCGGTCGGTCATCCTGGTCACTGAGAGCACAGCTGACAGGCTTGGGGACTGGGTGCCGATGCCAGGTGAAGCTGTGCATGCCCCAGCACTGAGAGAGGCTGAGGCAGGCCCATCGCTAGTGAGACTGTCTCAGAAAACCAGAACAAAAGATAGCGTGTTGGGTTGGTTAAAAGGACCAAGGGTGGCTGCCGGCGCTGGCCTCTGAAGAGACGGAAGGACAGAGGGTGGAGAGGCCATCTCAGAGGTATCCGAGGTGTGGAGGGCCTATAGGTTTCAGCTGGGTTCCAGTGTGAGCTTCGTATGCACTGGGCAGACGCAAGCCAGGACTTCCGGAAAGGCAGAGCAGAGGGTTGGATAAAGGGCAGACTGTAAGCCTTGATGACGGAAGGGCCTCCAGGGCAGGAGGGCAGAAGGGAGAAACTTCTAAGAGCCATAGGGGTCTGAGAGCAGCACCCCAATCCGGTGTCTGGGGACCCTTGTGGTCATGAAGGGTGGAGGGCCCTGAGGAGCAAATTCAAGGCAAGGAGAGAACGTACCGGGCAGACAGGCTGCGTGGTTTCCATTGTCAACTGGATAGGAACTGGAGAACAATTGAACGATCTCGATTAGGCCCACTGTAGGGGATGCTATCACCGGGCACACGGCCCTCGAAGTTGACTAAACCAGACAGACTCAGCAAGTCAGCAAGCAGTGTTTCTCCATGGTCTCCCTGACTTCCCTCAGTGATGGGCTGTAAGTGCAAGTTGAAATAAACCCATTCCTCCCCAAGTTGGTTTTAGTCCGTGTTTTACCACAGCCAGCTTTGGGGACATTGCATTCCCCCATCAGTCCTGACCCAGGCGCCATGGGTTTGAATCCCAGCTGTTCCTCCCAGTGTAGGGCCAGGGCTGGAGTCTCCCTCTGTGCCTGACTTCATTCTGCCTTGGTCCCTCGTCTGTAAAATGTGAGCTGACACCTGGCAAGCTAGCAGACGGGTCACCTTCTGTTCAGCAACGAGCTCGAAGTTGAACGAGCGAAGCGTTGCACTGATGCCCTTCTCCCCGTCAGGGTCTCTTATAGATGCCTGAACTTGCCAGTGTTCCCAACCAGCCAGCGCTCAGCAATTCCAGGCTCACATAGGGATTTCACACTTTGGGCTGAAAAAGCACAGTGTGACAGACCATAGATTGTACCGCTGCTTTCTCGTTCCCATGACAACTGCCCCTTTCCGATTTCCCCGCATCTCTTGCTGATTTGTATTGACTAGATGTCACCCTTCCAACATCCCTTCACATTCTTTATACCGATCAAGTTGCATAACAACCCGATGCGTGCTGCTGTGTGCTCGCTCCTGTAACTCTGGGGGTCTGGGAGGGCTCAGCAGGGGCTGCCAGTGAGAGGTGGGAAAGCTAACGGGAAGGTTCTTAGTGGCTACACAGCGAACTGAGTGTCATCCAAGAGCATTGTTAGTGTTGCCAAGGACATGTCAACGACTAAGTACCATGATCATCAAAAGGCCCGACATTTGAACAAAACCTTAAACAGCTTTTAAAAATGCTTCGGGAGGTCTATTGAGTCACAGGGGTCCAGTCCCCCTAGACTTGTTTGAGCCCCTTTTACTGTGGGGCTGTTTGGGGTGCTGGAAAATGACAATTCAGAAATACACAGGCATGGGAGAGTGAAGGCCTTCATGTAGGCTGGGGCCAGAGCTCACTGCCACCCTGTGTGGCACAGGTGACTCCTGAGCCCGAGATGGCCTGACCCCTGGCGTCTGCCCTGATGTCCTGTGTGTTTTATAAGGACAGACACTTGAATGAGCAAGGAAGCAGAGCCACACCCACTAGTCCAGCTCTCAAAGGTCCCAACGGATCGGCAAGATGACTCAGCTGGTAAATACGTGTGCCGTCAAGCCAGCTGACCCCGAAGGGGATGAAGGAACTCACTCCTTTAAGCTGACCTCTTACCCATCCTCCCCCTGCACACGCACAGACTAATCAATAAGGAGTGTGAAGGTCCGACACTCTTTGTTACTTCCCCCTTTAATACATATATACATATTATATACATATTATACATATTAATATACATATTAATACATATATAATACATATACACACACCCACACATACATAAATAGTGTGTATATACAGTGTATACTATATATTGTGTGTGTGTGTGTATATATATATATATATATATATATATATACACACATACATACATATATTGTGTGTGTGTGCTTGTATTTGTGGCTATATGTGTATGAATCAGGTCCACACATGCATGTGCGCCATAGCACATGTGTGAAGGTCATAGGACAACCTCACCTTTCACCCTGTTTGGCTTCAGGGTTTCCTGTGACTTGCCACTGTGACCTCTGGGTTTACTGGCTGGCTCTTGAGCTTGCTGATATCCCCCTGCCTCAGCCTCACTGTGGGAGTTCTGGGATCACAGGCGTGCACCGCCATGTGTGTAGCGGGTTCTGCCGACCCATCCTCACGCTTGTGTGCAAGCCTTTAGTACCGGGTCATTCCCGGTGGGGGGGGGACCCTTCAGACTGTGGCCGCACACTCAGAGATGGCTCACTCACTCTGACCACCACTTCTGAGTCACACCCATGGGTACATGTCACTATGGAGTCCAGCTTTAGCTCTCTTGAAGGGCTCTCTAAATGGCTGGCCACTTGTTTACTGTTTTCTAGGGTCTGCTGGGCAAGCTGTGAAAGGGCCCGTTACACAGGGGGCTTCTGGAACTTTCCATCTCTCGCCTACGAGTGGAAAGCATTTTGACCTGGCAGTTATTTTTGGCAGACACCAGCTGCCCTCAAAAAGGGCCCTCAGTGCAGAGCACCCTGGCAAGCCAGTTGCTGGGGTCTGTGGGTGAAGCTGTAAACTTCGGATCCTAGGCCGCCCCGGGGGATTCTGTTTCCTGCTTTCCCATCCTTCTGCCAAGCCTTGACTAACAGCTAGGGTTTTGTGTGCCTCCCCAGGTCTGTTGGGACCGTGGGGCCTAGGTCTGTGTGGCTGCCTCTCTGACGTGCTGTTCTGCCACCCCCAACTGCTGCCTCCACCCCAGCGCCCAGCGCCCAGCTCTGGCGACACAGACAGCCTTTGCCTATCCCCACGACGTCCCTTCCAGGAGGCCTCTATCCTGGATGAGACATTGCTTTCTGTGGGAGCTGAGTGTCCTGCCTGGGGCTTGGTAGGTTGCCCCTGGATTTGTCTAGGCCTTCCTTTGCCACAGGAAAGCATCTCTTGGGAGGTCTGGCTGGGCCTGAGCCGGCTCTTGCTCCATTCACACAGGCAACGAAGGTACAGATTGTCCAGGCCCCCACGGCAGACAAGCCATTTCAGAAAACCGAGAAAAACGCCATTGTAGCTCTTACTGACTAACCTTCCATGCAAATCCCTGGGTCTTCCGTGGTGGCTTTGGTGGCCTAGTGGATTCTGAGCATTGGCTCTGTGTTCCCTCGGGCTGTCCTGGCATGGCAGGAAAAACTGTGACCGTCTAGTCTTGACAGGCAGGGACAGTCTCTGCAT